TTTTCAAAACTCGACGTACTGTCCACCGTGAAATATTTAAGTTGAGTTCCTTCTTAATTTGGTTATAGCTGTTTTGGCTGTTACTGGCTGCTTTTACAATTGCTCGTTCGGTACGGGGACTCAATTTTTTCTTTGAGCCATCCTTTTTATTATTGCCATAATTAACGGAATTATTTAAAAAAATCAAAATGATAAGCGCCCTAGAGAAAATCAAAATGACTTTATGTAAGCGCCCTAGCCTATGGGCAATTTCCCGTACACTAATTTTATCCTCCTTAAACGTCAAAATTTTACCCTTCTCCTCTTCGGTCAAATATCTACCACGTGGTATTGTTCAATAAAGAGTATTGTCAAATTTTAATTTATATTTTAATAAAGAATGTAATTATTTAGCTTCAGTGAGTTTGTAGTTGAACTGGATGGAGAGAAGTTAATTTAATAATATTGGTGCTATAGTTACGCAACAAGCCAAAATCGCATTTTCGATTATATCGTTTCTAATAGAAGAGCAACTGCAATGAGACTTAATATAAAATTTATTGCGACCCATACCATTCCATCTCCTGTAATTGATTTTTTGCATTTTAATTCTGAATTACAGAACAATTAAAAAAGTAGATGGTGCTATAGTTATGTACCGCAGTGTATAATTTATTTAGAAATATGCATTCGTATAAAAAGTACAATTTATTTAAAAATTTACGATGGTCTACAAAAAAGTTTTAGTATAATAAAATATAAATGATTTAATAAGCAATTTTATACCCTTATTGCAGAAGATAATTAAATAGGTCTGTTTAATTGTGTTGTGAGTAAATAATTAGTGATTGAAAATTGGTATCACATTGGTTACTCAAAATTGATTTTCTGAATTTTCAAATTTCAGAGTTTTTACATTTCTGAATTCTTTAATATTCAAATTTCAAAAATTCAAAATTGTCCAATTATGATGTTCTCAAATTCTCAAAATCCCAAATTCTCGAATTCCCAAATTCTCAAAATCCCAAATTCTCGAATTCCCACATTCTCAAAATCCCAAATTCACAAATTCTAAAATTTCCAAATTCCCACATTCTCAAAATCCCAAATTCACAAATTCTCAAATTTCCAAATTCCCATATTTTCAAATTCAAAAATTCTAAAATTTCCAAAATCACAAATTATCATAATTCCAAATGTCCAAATTCTCAAATTTCCAAATTCTTAAATTTGCAAATTTTCCAAATTTTCCACATTTTCAAATTCTCAAATTCTCAAAATCCCAAATTCACAAATTTTTAAATGTCCAAATTCCCAAATTTTCCAAATTTTAAATGTCCAAATTCTCAAACTTCCAAATTCCTAAATTTGCAAATTTTCCAAATTTTCAACATCTTAAACTTCCAAATACTCCACATTTTCAAATTCTCAAATTTCCAAATTTTCCATACTTTCAAATTCTCTAATTGCCAAATTCTCAAATTTCCCAATTCCCAAGTTTTCAAAATCTTAAATGTCCAAATTCTCAAACTTCCAAATTCCTAAATTTGCAAATTTTCCAAATTTTCAACATCTTAAACTTCCAAATACTCCACATTTTCAAATTCTCAAATTTCCAAATTTTCCATACTTTCAAATTCTCTAATTGCCAAATTCTCAAATTTCCCAATTCCCAAGTTTTCAAAATCTTAAATGTCCAAATTCTCAAACTTCCAAATTCCTAAATTTGCAAATTTTCCAAATTTTCAACATCTTAAACTTCCAAATACTCCACATTTTCAAATTCTCAAATTTCCAAATTTTCCATACTTTCAAATTCTCTAATTGCCAAATTCTCAAATTCCCAAATTTCCAAATTTTCCACATTTTCAAATTTTCAAATTTCCAAAATTCAACATTCAAAAATATCGAGTTACAAAATAAAAAAATGTTCAAATACCAAAAACCAAAATCCACAATTACAAGTCCCAAAATTCCAAACTTCTCAAGTTGTACTCAAGTTCACCGTGCGTTACATTGAGAAAATCTTAAATTAAGATTTTTGAGCTTAAACTTTAAAAGAATTTTTGACACCATCTAACTTTTTGGGTGAGAGGATAAAAGAATTTTTTTTTAAGCCATCGCAACGTACGTGTTCGAGAAGTTTTTGTAGGTTTTTCCATTCCCCATTTTGCGATGACGTGAACGTTACAGTAACGTTAATTCGGTCACGTTAGCGAGGTGTGCATGCACAACGTCTACCATGTTTCGTATCTCCGTTTAAAATCAAAATTCCTTGCCAGGTTAATAAGGGAGATACATCAGATAACACGTCCAACGAACGACGCGCTTATTTTTAACATATTTCCCTTAATTATCTATAAATTGCTCCTTTTACGGCGAAGATTTTCAGAATTTATAAAGGCTGATTCTGATAACGTCTATAAGGAGTTCTATCATCAAACTATTATGTAGTTAACCACTATTTATTTTAATTATTAAAACTTGTTCTCCTTTTATGCGATGAATCAGCTTTTTTTATTTAGTATTAGTTAATTGATTCAGGTAGTTATTTATTTTATTTTAAGCAAGTTATTTATCAAAGCAAATATTACTAATTTTATTGTATCTTTGAATTTTTGGCTTTTTTTTTACCTTGTTGAGGAAGATTTAGGAATTTTACTTCCTTCAGGAAAATTTAGGGTTTTATTTTTTTGGGGGGGGGGAATGTAGAGGAACTATTTTACTATTTTAGAATTGTTTGGAAGTTATTTTATATTTTGGAATTTGTTTGTAGTTAAATGATTTGGTAATAATACAGATGGAATTTGGGGATTTTGGAATTTGAAACTCAATTATTTGAAAATTTAAAAATTTGAAAATTTAAGCACGTAGAAATTTATTATTTTTGAAATATAAGATTTGAGGAGTTGAGAATTAGACGATTTGAAAATATGGAAAATTTAGTAAGATTTTGAGAATTAGTGAATTTGGAAAGTTGAGAATTTGGGAATATGAGAATTTGAAAATATGAGAATTTGGAAGTTTAAGAATTTGAAAATGTGGAAAATTTAGAAATTTGAGAATTTGGAAGTTTGAGAAATTGTGAATTTGTGAATTTGTGAATTTGTGAATTTGAAAATTTGGAAATTTGAGAATTTATGAATTTGGGATTTTGAGAATCTGGGAATTTGGAAATTTGAGAATTTATGAATTTGGGATTTTGAGAATCTGGGAATTTGGAAATTTGAGAATTTATGAATTTGGGATATTGAGAATCTGGGAATTTGGAAATTTGAGAATTTATGAATTTGGGATTTTGAGAATCTGGGAATTTGGAAATTTGAGAATTTATGAATTTGGGATTTTGAGAATCTGGGAATTTGGAAATTTGAGAATTTATGAATTTGGGATTTTGAGAATCTGGGAATTTGGAAATTTGAGAATTTATGAATTTGGGATTTTGAGAATCTGGGAATTTGGAAATTTGAGAATTTATGAATTTGGGATTTTGAGAATCTGGGAATTTGGAAATTTGAGAATTTATGAATTTGGGATATTGAGAATTTGTGAATTTGTGAATTTGTGAATTTGTGAATTTGAGAATTTGTGAATTTGAGAATTTGAGAATTTGAGAATTTGAGAATTTGAGAATTTGGGAGTTGGGGACTTTAGAAGTTTGGAAATTTAGAAATTTGGGAATTTGTGAAATTGAAAATTTGGAAATTTGGAAACTTGGAAACTTGGAAATTTGGAAACTTGGAATTTTGTAGTTTTAGAACTTGGAATTATGGAATTTAAGAGTTTTGGTACTTGAAAATTTTTCAACTTTAGAACTCGATATTTTAGAATTTTGGAATTTACAAATTAGGGGATTTTGGAATTTGGAACTAGAGAATTTAGGAATTTTGAAATTTCAGCACTTGAAATTGTGGCTTTTGGAATTTTAAAATTTAATAATTTTGATATTTGAGAATTTTTGAATTTTGGAACTCAGGATTTTAGAATCTGCAAAATTGAGAATTTTGGAACTTGGAATTTGAGAATATTAAAATTTTAGAACTTGAGAATTTTATAATTTTGAAATTTGAGAAATTTTTTAATTTGTGGTTTTATAAATCTGAATGCTTCAAAATTTGGAAACATGCTAACTCGAAAATTTGAAAATTACAAAAGTTCATCAATCTGAGTTTGTGAATTCGAAAATTTGTCTATTTCGGAACTTGTAAAAATTCCTAAATGTAACCTGTATCAATCTAACGTATGTAATACGTGACAAATGCAAATTATGGCAATATAACGCGTGACGATATTTCGCTAAATATTCAGCTTAGAATTTGCTATCTCATTCCAGTATTTCGTTACCTGTACACATTCGAGTCGGTACAAAGACGGCAATATAACGAGAGCCCACTGTATCTATTACAGCACCTTCAATTTCCGAATATATATGAATATTCGTTAACAGATAAATAGAACATGGAAATTTAGGAATTTTCGAAGTTCTACACCACAGGAATTAGTCCTAACAATCAGCCATTACACTGAATCTACCAAACCAGTACAAATGACCAATTCACAAGTTTCTTCTTTCAAATTACAAGACTTGAAAGGCTTTCTTGAAATCTGTCATGATTTCTATCGACGCGACGCGAAGAATTAGTGCGTATATTACTGATGTTTAATTTATCTTTCATCTTCACTTTTAATTGCAAATTAAGTGAGCACGCCGGTAAGTTCAGTATTAAACGTTTGCACTCGAAAGCTGACTCACATACACCATTCGGTTGAATACAAGTTTAAATAAATATTTTTCATCTAAATCTGTAATCTTATACACGTGACACACAAACATAATCAACAGTGGCAATTAATAATGGAAAAATAATAATTCCAAAAAGATTCATTGAACTTTTCAACCAGGCTTTAAAGTGCCACCAAACCTTCCTAAATGATTAATATACATGTATTTTTACAATGTTAAATTCTAGTGATCGAAGGATATAGGTTAGGTTGTCGAAGTAATAAAAGACCATCAAAGGTACATATAAGAACAATGTAAGGTATATTTCTTCACAAGTCACACATAGCATCTAGTATCGAGGATAAACGATACGTTGGTTAGGTATTGAATTCAGATTAACAGGCTCGAGTCGTACAGCATCGGAATCTTAACTTAATAAAGGTAAGCCGTACAAATCGTACCGTAAAATCGAATCGATATCCATCCCCTGTTTACTCGTCGTCTTCCTTTTTTTTCATTTCATTCTCCTCCTGTTCTATTATTAGTTTAATCGTCACGCAATTTTTAATACCTACGCGTTCGCTTGATGTACAAAATTCGCAGCTAAATCATTCACGACGGAAGAAAAGATAAAATGGTGACCGTTTAATTATCTTGTTTACGTTCGAAGACGAATCTCGTCGCGCGATGAAGAAACACTCAGTCCTCGTTTATTAATTACACGTGATCGTTTGACCTCTCCGTTGGCGGACAGATCCGGTGAATGTTTTAATTCGCTTACTAGTATAAAAAAGGCGCCTGTTGTATTATAACAAAGTAACAAATACAATTACAGCTAAATTAATTGGTAATCGATTAGTCTGCGCGGTGAGCTCCTCTTTTAACCTTTCACTCCCTTGGTGGATCTCTGCAATATACAAAGAGACATTATTATTCCATTTTATTGTATTTAACTCTTTTATTATAAAATTGTAAGAACTTCTATGTAAACAATACTTCTGTTCAGAAAATTAAGAAAACTGAAATTTATTTCCATTACACTCAATTTCTTAAGCATTTTTAAATTTTAAATTGCATTTAAATAAATAAATATTGTTTTCGTTTATTTGTATTATACTCAATTTCTTAAACACCTTTTTGCTTTCAGATATACTTATTTTTAAATAGAACATTCTATTTGCAATACTAAAACTTCTATTATTTTTTTGCATTGAAAAATATTTGTAAAATAAATTCAGTTTCAACTTCACATTTTTTTTTAATTCTGAATTATACATTTTTATACCTTGCCATAAATTTGAAAATTTTTAAACAAACTTTTTATTATGATTTTTTATTTACTAGAAATATGTATAAATGAATTTTTAAGGATTGCTGTTAAATAATTAATTTTAATGTTAATGTTTTAAATGTAAAAGAGGAGTTAATAGAAATATGGTTTTGGTGATACTTCTTATATTTTTTTATTATGGAGAGTTTTGAAAATTTCTTATAGGACCTACCGCAGGTGCTTCTTTGCGACCAACGATTTTGCATTGAGTACGTCCGATTAAACCGTATTGGTAATCGCACGAGCAATCTTTCTCGAATTCTACGTTAACGAGTCCATCGACGATCCTCCTTGCAGCTACTTGAATGAATTGCTTCTTCTGGTTTGGTTTAGCGTCTAAGAAGTTGTCTGAACTGAACGCTGCTCCTCCAGACTGTAACAAGTTCGAGTAACGACTTTAGTGATGAGGATATTCTAGACTTATTGATTCAAGAAATTTCAGTTTTCAAATGCAGGGTTAGAAATTTAAAATATTTCTGTTTGAGGATTTAGACTTTTCACATTTGGGTGTTCAATTATTTAGAAACTTAAAATTTTTAATTTTGATATTCTGAATCTTCAAATTTGAGAGTTGAATAATTTGTAAATTTCAAATTTTTTTAATAATCTAAATACCTCTTTTGAAACACCGATATATTTACAATTATATCTCAAGAGAGTTCTACTAAAATAATCCTTTATATTAAAATAAAAAAAGTTATGAATTTTTCTGTCAAAATCATATTTCAAGTTTCTAAATTTTTTTTAACATTTAACGTTTAAATTTACCAAAGGATATGAAGTATCCTTTAATATTACAACAACTTTCAAAGATAATTTGTAACTTTTTTCAAGTTTAAACAGTAAGTAGCTTCTTTGTAAGGAACATTTTGAGTGGCAGGAGTCTTGAACGTCTCAGTCTGCCATGTTATTTTTATGAAGTGTAACCGACGAGTGTTAATTATTTGTAAAAAAAACTGATTCTACAAAAGGCGGAAGAACGATCGGTTATTGAACACTCACGGAAACTGCGAAGTCAGCGCAGACGTCGTTGGTCGTCGCGACGAGGTTGTTCTTCATGTCGCTGCTTCCGCTGAGAGGCTTCTTCTTGCTGTCAGCAAACGTGTACGCGTAATCTTGGTCATAGCCGACGATATTCTTCTGTGGTTTACCCGATACAAGCAGTTCGTTCGGGTATGACACGTGATGATATGTGAGTCCGAGATCGCGGTACATTTTCTGACCCAACAGAAGCCTTATTTGTTGCAGCTGAAAAGACAACAAAATTACATTATTTATTTTGTATCATCTAACATTGATTAATTATGTAAATCTCCATCTTTTATCGGGTCTATATGTGTAGTTTATTTACCAGGATAATGTCCTTTTTTATTAGGTTCATATACCTAACTTTTTTATTATATTAGTATATATCATTTTATAGGACCAACTTTTTATCAGATTTATCAGATCAACATATTTGATTTTTTATAATCTTCACAGTATAAATTTGTCGATTCTATGTACACATACTATAATAATTCTCTATAATTCATTATACAGTACATATTTACAAAGAAATTTCCTTTCATTTTCATCTTCTAAACATATAGTATACAGAAAATCTATTCTAAGTTTGAGTTAAAAAGTTTTAATTTAAGAAGCAATATTCATGAAAACAAATTAATTAATTAAATGAAAATCAAATTGATGAAAGAGTCAATATTGATATAACCGTTCAAATTTCAATTGAATTTGAAATTTAGTAGATTTTAATAGAAGTCGACTAATAATATTATTAACATAGATTAGGTTCTATAACGGTTAACTCTGTATAAATATCTTGTAATTTCTTTTTAAATCAGAACGACATTTATCGTTAGTTTCAGTGTTTCACTATAGTGCAAATTGGCGCAATCTTAAGAGCTTTTGTTGTCTTGTTGGTATTGGATCACTCTAGGGTACAATAAGTTGGTAGCAATGGTTACTTCGTTCAAAATCCTATGTCCTGTGTGTATCGTGTCCGGTGAAGTATGAACGTCCGTTACGTGTCTCTATTATCCGTTAAATGCATAATTTAATATCTCTACATTATAAAATTTCTTTATTAGTATTAATATGTGCAACTGTATCGTCTGTTGAGTAATTAATTCGTAGTAATTCGTTGAGTAATTAATTGGTAGAAAATGATGCTTACAGAAATAGGGAATGGACTCTTCTCGCATGGATTAGCAATCACGCCAACAACCGCTTTGGCTGCGCCCGGTTTAAACGGATATCGGATTGCTTCCTCATAAGCGTCGGTCAGTCTAAATGTTCCTAGTTCAATGTCCAGCTTCTGGTGCAAGTAGGTTATCTTCTTTTCCGTGTTGCCTTCCTTCGCTTCCTGGAAACAATTTGTTATTTTCTCGTTTAACGCACGCAAACGCCACGGCAAAAACTGGACGCCATCTTTAATGGACGGTACGGTGAAATTTGATACCTTACGTGGAAGACTAGCATGAAGATTGATGATTTATGCGTTCGCTATTAGTTACGTGCAGAGTTATACAATCTTGAAAACACTAATTTATATCGCGAGATAATATTAATGACTTTGATTGTTTTGATTACTATTTATGCAATTTTAGAAATAAATTAATTTATGGTGCAAAATAAAATTGGTGATTACTTTGATTACTATTAATTATACAATTTCCAATAAAAATTTGTTTATATTGAAAAATAAAATGGCTAATAAACTTGATTATTTTAATTAATAGTAATTATACAGTTTCTAACAAAAATTGGTTTATATTGAAAAATGTAATTGCTAACAAAATTTATTATTTTGATTATCACAAGATTTATGTAATTTAAGAAATAAATTAATTTATGGTACAAAATATAATTGCTAATAAACTTGATTATTTTACTATCAGATTTATACAATCTCAATAGGACTTGCTTCAAGATAAAATTGCTCGTGCAATTAATCATGTATTCAATTATGACATTTGCTTCTAATGGTAAAGATTAGTCATTGATACCTATGAATATTCATAAGAACGATGTTAACGTCTCCAGAAAGAAAAACTAAATCAATTATATCCCGAATCGCGTCAGAAAGTAGAAAAACTCTTCCATACATAGTGAATCACTGGAATGATTCATTAATGATAGATAATTAACGCAAACAAGTGTTACATTGGCGCTAGAGAGAATGACACGTATAAAAACGCGGAGAAAAAGAATGTCGCAGAAAATGATTGAACGTAGAAACGAGCTTTTAATTAACGTTCATCATTCAAGAAAATAATTACCTCCATACTGACACTCGGTTTCTTCTCGCTGAATTTCATGTTCTTCACATCACCTTCGATGTTTGTGTTGCCGTTTAAGGTGTAGTGTTGCGGCCATTTCATGCTTTCGCTGAATCCGATTAGACCAATGTGCACGTCCCTGTTAATATTAATTAATATCAGTATATTAATTTTGGTAACTTTAATATGAAATAAAAAATAGTTTATAATCAAGAAAACGATAATTTGTAAAGTATAATAAACTCTTGTTATATTGCCGCGAACTCGACTATAGACTTTTTTAATGATTACTCTCAAGACCTGGTTTATGATTTCTGTTAGAACCTGTTTCATAACTATACAGAAATATTTGTTTCTTTTGAAAGAAATATGTTTAATTTTCTTTTTTGTGAAGACATAAATATTCAAGTCAATTGTTTAAGTCTGTATAATAAGCATTTGAAATTATTTAGTTGATCAATAAGTATAATGTATTTCTTGATCAATAGGAGTCACTCACGTGATACCATGTTGTTTCAATTCCTCTCTGAGTTCACCCATCAATGGCGTAACCAGTTCCTTGTAAATTTTGTCATTTGGAGTTTGTTGTTCCACAACGAATACGATATCAGCCTCTTTCTTTGGTACTTTCACGCTGAATGTGTCGCCGATGTTTATCTTGTTCGCACCCACTTTGCAGCTTGCTGAAATACCGCGAGAAAACACATTAACCTGTTTCCGATTTAGCATATGAGAAGGTACGAGAAACCAAGGTTTTCTTTTACATCTTCTTGATATTAGAACAGATTATAATGAAACAATTGTGGGTACAGATCAAATGACCGATTGACAAGTTTCTTATTAGAAATTCAATTTCGGCGATTTTTTAAAATCTACGTTGATTTTAATTAAAATAAAAAAGTCAAAAGGTAACTTACTGCATGTTGAAGGAACACGAGTAGTCATCACACGTTGTGCGTAACAAGCATAGTGATAAGCCGTGGCAATTATGCAAGCATTTTCAGGTGTACCCATGCCAACTGCGTGATCGCAGGCCTCGCGATAATTAGCCGGATTTACGTAGTTGAAGCATGACCTGTAAACAAATGTTTAAAATTATTTTAAAAGAAAACAGACTGCACCTCGTTTTGAGGAACCGTTTTAAATATAGACGAAGTAAAAAAATAATAAATCACTCAAAAAGAATTCTTCGCTCATCTCCTTTGTTTGTAAACCTTCCGCAATTAAAAAAGAAAGGTAAAGATTTTAAAAGTTAGAAAATTACGATATTGTACATATACTAAAGTAAATAGAATACATGTTTTTATATCAATAACTAAAAAACGTGCAGCAAAAAAAAAAATACTAATTTTCATGAGACTTGTAATTTATCATCAAGAGAAAGATAAAATTTATCGAGAAATAGCACAGTTATTAGTAATGAAGAAAAGTACAGTAGCAAACAGCATTAAAAGTTACAAGAAAGATATATGTACCATGCGCATGCGCTATATGTAATACGCGCATGCGCAGTGAGAATATATAAAGAAAAGGACAACCTCAAATCTTTAATGGAAGAGAAGAAAGAAAATTAATATGAAGAGTTAAAATAAATCCGTATTGCAATGCTGTGCAATTAGCTTCAGAGAATTATCATGAAAATGGAAAGAAAATCGCTGCTGAAATTGTACGTATAATAATGAGAAACTATGGGTATAATGGTCGAATAACAAGAAGAAAATTGTACGATAATGATATACATTGGGATAAAGACTGATTTTTCCGGGGGAATTTATTGAATAGCCTTAAGATTGGTGCAAGGATATTATTTTATTGAAATATTGTGCTTTTGGTTCGGGTAGAGAAAGTATAATGTGGCAAAGAGTAAATGAAGGTTTAATGCCAAGCAATCTAAAACTTACTTTAAAACACAAAGGAGATTCTGTTATAAGTTTGTATTTCTAGTGAGTGAGTTGGTGTTCATTGATGATATTTTAGATAAGAATAAATATTAGGACGTTTTAAAATAAATTTACTAAATAGTGCAAATAATATGGAAATACAAATTGCTTTAAAATTTTATGATTTTTATTTTTATAATAAAATGAATTTTGAATGAATTTTATAATAAAATTCACTTAATTACCACATTAAAGTAAACTAAACAAAATTCTAGAAGTGCCAAACTTTAACAATGTAGAACTATTGGAGTAACAGATTTCGACATTCAAAATCATTATATTCTGTCTATATTTGTTGAATACTATCAGCTTATACAAAAAAGAAGTTAGGAAATAAGAAATTTAATCAAAAGAACAAAAAGAAGGAAAATGGACTTACTTTAATGAGGAACTTTGGCTGGTGAAATATTCTGTACAAATTGGAGCTCTCTCTTTGTGATGAACTGCAGTTGTATCTGGACACTCATTCTTCAATTTATAGGCATTTCCAAACTCAGTTGAGCTTTCAGTGATCTGAAGAGAAATATTAAGTTTGAATTAATTTAATGGAATGAGTTTGATTGATACATGAATGCAAGATTGCAAGATTAAATAATGCAGTCTTTAGAGCAACGATACATGAAATATTATTTAATATGTTTTTTTTTTTAGTTCAAAGCGCAGTGTATTGAAGTTCTGATATATTCTAGTCCCAAAGTTTAAAAGTATTTGAATTATTAAATTTGTAAACTTTTACTATATTTAATTGCAAAGTCACAAAGTTATAAAGCTCAACCATTTTGGGAGGCATATGTTATCAAATTTAGAGAAGTCTGTACTATCAAATTCTTAAATTTTTAAATCTTCGAATTCCCAAATTGTAAAATGTACAAATCTGTAAATTCCTGAATTCTAAAATTTATAAGTATTCAAATTCTCAAAGTTTCAATACTTACACCCTGCTAATTTTCAAATTCCTAAATTTCTAATTTCTCAAAAACCAAACCACCAAATTCAAAAACTTTCAAATTTTCTATATCTAAAATACCAAAGATACGAAGCATCAAAATCAGACATTCAAAAAAATTCAAAGAAAGTTTCTATATTTAGGATTCTTTATATAAGTCGTCTGACTAATATTATCAAGATTAAAAGAATTAGCGTTATTTAAAAACTCGAAAACGAATTGTGGTAGCAACAAGATGCCTTAAAAATCTAAAGACACATAAATTAGCCAAAATCTCGATAAACGTACAGATTCCACAGGTATAAAAATAGCGTAGTGCCCTAGAAGATCAAGCACAAGGGTCAAAGGATCGTTGCCCTTTAAAGATCGAACGATATTCGGCGACGCACGAGAGCCAACCACCTCCTTTACCACAACATTTCCACGAAAACGTTTATATACACTCGGGTGTAATATAAGCTCTACTTGGATAAGGATACAAGTATATTCTAACTTTACAATTTTCAAATTTACAAATTTCTAATGGAGGTGTTCAATTTTTCTCATTTCTAATTTTATTTCTATGTATTTCTAATTTATTTATATTTTCTAATCTCTAATAAATTTTTAATTTGTAATTTTTTAATTTAAACATTTTTTATTTTAAATTATTTATAATTTTTTCAAGTTAAAATAATGAATGTCTTCTTTGTAAGAGACATTTCTAATTATTGGTTAAAAATAAGCTAAAAATACTGAAGATTTCCACATTCTGAGATTTAAAAGTTATTAGATCTCCAAGTCCCTTCATTACATCTCTGAATTCCTAAATTCTCAAATATCCAGATCCCTAGATCTAGTTTCCAAAGTTTCTAAACTACTAAATCCCCAGATTCTCACAACAATAGATGACCAAATCATGAAGTCTTCAAATTGCTAAACTGCTCAATCCCTAGATTCCCATATTAATATATCATTAATCTCTAAAGTCCCCATATTTCTAGATCACCAAATACTAAATTCCCCACATTCTTAGATACCCAAATCCTTATATCCCCAAATATTAAGATTTCCAAATTCTAAGATGATCTAAGTAGATTGCGGTATCTCTGAAGTCCTAAATCACTAGATCCCTAGATCTATAACGGACCCTCTTCCCAAATTTCTCAACTTCTAAATCACTAGATTCCCATATCAATGATGACCAGACATTAAAGTCTCCAAATTTTTAGATTCCCGAGTTCCTAAACCAGTTCCTAACTTCCCAAGACCCTACACAAATTTTTATCTCCTCAAGTTTCTAAATCGATAAATCCCTAGATTCCCATACTCATAGATCCCCAAAGCACAAAATCCCCAAAATCCCTATGTTTACAATATAATATTTAGATACGCGGTTTGAATCTTTAATCCAGCACTGTAATTTTCGGATTCCTAAAAATCGCTAAAAACTTAATGGCCTGTTCTAGTGACCGAATATTCCGAGTATTATTCTTGGGGATTTTTGAGGCCTTTGGCGGAAAATTGATGAGCTCTGGCGGTCCTTGTTTATCTTGTAATGTACTGTTCAGGAAAGACAAGGAGAGTAGATATATGGTTTCCAAAAGTGTACAAAAATGCGACTTCATTTTGCCAAGATTTTGAAGCCAGCAATATTTTGTCATGATTTTTTTCAGAATATTCTTTGTACAATTCTTCGGTGCTGTAAGGAGCGCTATTTGGGAAATGGGACGTGAAAAAATTTCTTCTATAAAAACTTGCATGTTTCCTTCTCGTGAAGGTTTAAGGATGAAATTGCGAAATTGAGCTTTTTATCGCATCGAAGAATTATATAAAGAATATTTTGAAAAAGAAATCATGACAAAATTCTCGGCTCAAAATCCAGGTAAAACGAAGCAGTATTCTTGTACATTTGTGGAAATGCAATCTCTTGTGACCTTGTTTCTCCTGATCAATACACCATAAGATAAACAAGGATAAATTTTCCACCAGAGTCGCTTAAAATCATGCGGAGTATACGGTGCTTATTCTTGAGCCTTAATCGATAACGCGAATATGCGAAGATTAATCATCTCTTTTTTTGCTCTGGTTAACTAACTGTGTCGGATATACGTTCGATATCTCTGAAGTCCTAAATCACTAGATCCCTAGATCTATAACGGACCGTCTTCCTAAATTTCTCAACCTCTAAATCACTAGATTTCCATATCAATGATGACCAGACATTAAAGTCTCCAAATTTTTAAATTCCCAAGTTCCTAAACCAGTTCCTAACTTCCCAAGACCCTACACAAATTTTTATCTCTTCAAGTTTCTAAATCGATAAATTCCTAGATTCCCATACTCATAGATCCCCAAAGCACAAAATCCCCAAAATCCCTATGTTTACAATATAATATTTAGATACGCGGTTTGAATCTTTACTCCAGCACTGTAATTTTTGGATTCCTAAAAATCGCTAAAAACTTAATGGCCTGTTCTGGTGACCGAATATTCCGAGTATTATTCTTGGGGATTTTTGAGGCCTTTGGCGGAAAATTGATGAGCTCTGGCGGTCCTTGTTTATCTTGTAATGTACTGTTCAGGAAAGACAAGGAGAGTAGATATATGGTTTCCAAAAGTGTACAAAAATGCGACTTCATTTTGCCAAGATTTTGAAGCCAGCAATATTTTGTCATGATTTTTTTCAGAATATTCTTTGTACAATTCTTCGGTGCTGTAAGGAGCGCTATTTGAGAAATGGGACGTGAAAAAATTTCTTCTATAAAAACTTGCATGTTTCCTTCTCGTGAAGGTTTAAGGATGAAATTGCGAAATTGAGCTTTTTATCGCATCGAAGAATTATATAAGGAATATTTTGAAAAAGAAATCATGACAAAATTCTCGGCTCAAAATCCAGGTAAAACGAAGCAGTATTCTTGTACATTTGTGGAAATGCAATCTCTTGTGACCTTGTTTCTCCTGATCAATACACCATAAGATAAACAAGGATAAGTTTCCATCAGAGTCGCTGAAAGTTATACTCACAGCATTCGGTCACCAGTGTTGGCCCTTAAGCGGTCTGAATGAAATTTAAATGTATCTGACGTGACTGTCACATTTTCCCTAGGGAAGAGATATTTGCTGGTGACTGTACTTCCGTGAGTTTGAACGCTTTAGAAAGTTCGTGACACGTGACACATACCTTTCCGGAGGGCAAAGTATAATCATCGTACGGTTCATTGTTGCCATCACCAAAGAGCCCGCGTAGTTTGCCCAAGTAGAAACCGGAAACGTGGACGGCGCAAATCATTGGCACCTTGTTTGAACACGTGAGACGTACGCCGTAATCGGATTTGACATTGGCGAATGGTTGGACGAGGTATGCGTGCAAGTTCTTCGTGCTCGCTGGGAAATCGGCCGGTTTGTTATTCACCAGGATCTGAAAGCAACAATTATGCCGATGTTAGAAATTTACCGAATTGATTTCTTCAAGTTTTCAGCTTTTAATCTCTGAATTTTCTACTTTTTTTCGTTTCAAGCTTTCAAATATGGAATCTCTTAATTTTTAAACTATCATGTTTTTAATATTTTCATTTTTAAGATTTTTAATTCGTGCAGCATCACATTTTTGAATTTTCAAGATTTTCAATTTTTCAAATTTTAAGTTTTTCAAATTTTTAATTTTCAACTTTTGCAGTATGATATTTTCACATTTTTTATTTTTTGAATTTTTAAATTTTCAAATTTTAAATTTCGGAAATATTATAAAATTTTCAAATTTCAAAAATGTGACTTTTCCTAAATTTGTCAAGTGCATCATTTTCAAATTCGAAGGGTAACATTATATTTGCTTACGTTTCCATTGTTCTTGAGCGTGATGCTTTCTTTAGGTTCTGTAATAGTGACACTGATAAGATTTCCTCCTTGTAAGTTCGCCACTACCGAGAAGTTTCCGTCTTCCATGTCCTGTGCCAGGATATAGTTGCACGTTCCAGGCATCGTCAAATGGCGTCCATCGAATGTGAAAATGTGTCCTCCATCAGTAACGACTGCTGATTTGCTGAATGGTGGCAGTATGTCGCTTGGGTAAAGGGTTGGCCTATAATATCATTTTAATCTATTTAAAAGCAGCCCTTAGGATTTGTTATCTTAGTACTTATTTAGTACTTATTTATTTACTTTGGAATTTTAATATTTTGGGACTTATGAATTTTTAAATTTTGTAAATCTTTGTAGTAAGTGACTTTGAGACCTATGGATTTGGAAATATTTGAAGATGACTTTGTAACTTTGGGACTCATGAATTTTAGAATTATTTAATCTTTAAATCTTTAGGGCTTGGATTTTTGAAATTTAAAAATTTTTGCATTTTTAAGCTTTGAGATTTTAGGACTCTTCTACTTTAAAATCTTATAAAACGACCTTCAGCTTCTAAAAGCTTCTCAGTATTTAAAAATTTAATTATTAATTATAACATTAATATCATATACTTTCAATCTAAATTACCAATTATTATTAATCAAATAGATTAATTTTTGAATTAAAATTACCAATCGTCAACACTTAAATTGATTGATTTTTCAATTTATATTACTAATGGTTAACAAATCAAATTGTGCATCAAATTGATTCATTCCTATTTACCAATACTAACAATGAATATACAAATTACTAAGAATGAAATTTTACAATTTAAATTATCGCTTATAACAGCGAAATCGATCAATTTTCCAATTTGGTACCTAGAATTATCCTTCTAACGTGCAGATCGACCCTCCCGTTTCCATACCAAACTATTTAACTAGAATAACATTCGTGTCAGCCGTTTCTTCAGCATTCAACATTTTAATACTAAATGCCCAATAAAATCAATTTAATACCATCGCTTTGAAGGTAGCACAAAGTTTAAATAGTCAATACATTGTAATTTCCATCTGTCGCTTTAATTTAGCTGGCTTTGTGAGGAATATAATAATCGATGCCTCGACAGAGGTTGTCTGCAGAATCTCTCTTCGTTACGACCAAGACGAGGGCGATAAGACAAAGGAAAAGTTGGACGTAGGTTACAGAAAACTCATTTATCGAAATGGGCTACCTATAAGTGTAGTACAGATCCAATGGCGACGGTAGCTCCTGGTTGCGCAACAGATTCAGGACGGATAGCCTGAGGGTAGAAATGCCTGGAAGCTTTGACAAAAGGCTGAAATCAATGGGTGACTGGATTTGAACAAAGTTTAATGCGTTATCGAAGGTTGCCTGCTTCTGTAAAAGGGTCAGCAGGGATTGGATCGCAGTCACTGCGTACGAGTACAGCCTCTTCAGCTCCGCTATCTCGTCAACCTGGAAAACATAAAAATATTCGACTATTAGAAAAAACTGCAAGTACTGCAAATTGCTGGAATCATAAACTCTTAGGTCATGTAGATACATCTCTGGATTTCCAAATCTAAAGATTTTTACATATCTAAACCTCCAAATTCTTAAAGCCACAGATTTCTTAAAATAAACGTAGGAAAATTAATTTTATAATTTTCAACCTTTTCACTATGCAAACTTTCAAATTTACAAATTATCAAGTTTGTAAATTTGTAAGCTTACAAATTTTCAAGTTTACAAATTTTAAATACTCGAGTTTCCTTATTTCCAGGTACTGCAAATTGCTGAAACCCTAACCTCCTAAGTTACCATCCCCCCAACTACCTAAACCTCCAAATCCCTAAATCTAAATTTGTAAAATGAACCAAAATAAACTAACTAACAGTAGCTAAACTATTAAAACATCAAATTAGCGTGTGTACACGTCGGACTTAACCAGAGAAATCAAATACTTCCACAATTTATACGTTTTGTACGTTTCACAGTTTGTACCTTTTCGCGTTTGACGTGTTTAAGAAGATACTGGCATGAAGCATCAGTGAGTTGACGCAGTTCTTCCGTGGGCAGAGCTGTGTTCAAAACCCTACAAAATTCTTCAACAGGACTGATGACCATTTCCGGTATCTGGAAGTTCAGCAACTCCTGGTATTTCTCTTTGGCTACCTCGTAAATCGGTAGAGCTTTCAGCTGGTTGACCAACATGGCGGCGAATTCCTCAAGATTCGCTTTAATCTGTTCCAATCCTTTTGTTATTATCTTCGCAAAGTCCTGGGTCATTCCTGATACCACGCTCATAACGTCTTGTATCTCCTTTTGATGCTCGTTGATGATATTCAAGATAGCATTCAGATAAGTGTTTGCGAGTTTGGCGACGGCGTCGAGGATTTCCATAACTTGATGGAAAATCTTGTTGTAAGATGCTTTCAGCTCGGGATAAGTTCGCGCGATGGCTTTCTCCACATCCACTATAATTGTGTTTAACTGCTCCCGCAATTTTTCTAAACCTTGAGCGATCTGTTTCATGGTTTCTGCCACGGTTGCGACTAATGCGCCGAAATATTTATTTCTGAAAAAGAGGTATTTATTGTTAGATTTGCGGTGAAGCGATGGTTCATGAAGAACCAAGAAATTCAAAAGTTTAAAAATGAAAAATAAATATTAAGAAATTTTAAAACAAAATATTTATAAATTCAAAAACTTATAAATTAAAAAATTTAAGTATTTTAAAATTGAGAAAATAAATAATAATAAAGGCATTTATGGGAAATTGTAACATTCAAAAATTAATTAGGAACTTAAAAGATTAAGAACAAAAAAAATTAAGCATTTTAAAATTGAGAAATAAAAGAATAAAGAAATTTAAAAGTCAAGAAAACAAATGTTCAAATTAGAGATTTAAAAGATTAGAAATTAACAAATTTTGGTAAAAATTTTGGAATTTAGGGATTTTGGGGATTTAGGGATTTAGGAATTTGGGAATTTAGAAATTTGGAAATTTGGGAAATTACAAATTTAAGAATTTCGGAATTTGAAAATTTAGGAATTTAGGAATTTGGGAACTTAGAAATTTGAAAATTTGGGAATTTACGAATTTAAGAATTTTGGAATTCGAAAATTTAGGAAATTAGAAATTTAGGAATTTAAGAATTTGAAAATTTGGAAATTTTGGAAATTTTGGAATTTGGGAATTTAGGAATTTAGGAATTTTAGAATTTTAGAATTTTAGAATTTGAAAATTTTCTGAATTTGAGAATTTGGAATTTTGGGAATTTGGGAATTTGGGAATTTGGGAATTTACAAATTTAAGAATTTAGGAATTTGAAAATTTGGAAATGTAAGAATTTAGAAATCTAGGAATTTAAGAATTAAAAATTTTAAAAATGTAGAAATTTGGAAATGTAGATATCAAAACATGAAAGCACAAAAAGTTGGAAATTTGGATATTTTTAACTATAAGAATTTAAAGCTCTTCAAATTAGAAATATGAAAATCACAAATTTAGACATTTCAAAATCTACAAGCTAAAAATTTAGAAATATAGAAATTTGAACCATACAAACATATTTATTTAAAACCTATTAAAAAAATTAAAAATTCTCTAAAAAAATCAATTATAAATTAAAAAATCTAAAAACTCAGAAAAAGAAAATTTTCTCGTAAAAATTTGATCGATTTCTAAAATTTCCATCAAGAATATCAAGTAGCGCATAAGAATACTTACAAGGTAGCTTGAATTTCTTTGACAGTTTCGTCAGCATAGAAATCATCCTTCATCTTATTTAACTCTCCTTGATAATAGTCCATGAGGGGCTTTAGGTTCGGTTCGGCCTTTTTCAGATGTTCCACAAGGTCTGTAGTCTCTGCTTTTACCTTCTCAACCACGTATTCATGTACGTCTTTCATCTTCATAGCCAGTTGGATATTTCTATTTTTATATATTTCCTGGAATATTTCAACGAGGGGTAGAACGTGTCCTTGGCACCTTGTTCTCTCAACGATCGATAAAACCTGTACACTTACCAAAAGTTCGGCTACGTTTTCCTTGTTGTAACCAAAATCAGGCTTCAAGAATTGTTTCTCGTCAAGATGAACCAAAACGTGGAACAGTTCCTTCTTGGCGCCATTTTTGTACAAATCTGCGTGGACTTGGGCTAATTGGCCGATCACTGCTTGTCCGTTCACGCTTAGTTTGTCGTTTGGTTTGTCTGAAATAAATATTTTTGTAAAATAAATGTGTTTATGAAATAAATATGTCTGTGATAAGTTTTCTGTTTCCCGCTCTTGTAAGTGAATGGTTAGCGCTTCCGTTTTTTGTTTCCTTGACTAGTCACTAAAGTGACTACTTTAGTTAACGGTAAATACAGTGACTACACTAGTCAATTGACGCTAACCTCTAAATTCTAAATCGTCACGCATTAGGCTTCACCACGCGGTTGTCTTTTTTAGTAATCGTTCTTTTTAAAGTAACTAATGTTTCAAAGTAGTTAAATAATGTATTAAGTGTATAAATAAATATATATGTGTCTATTATTACAAGCCCCCTCGGAATGAAATAAATAATATTTCTTTGTCTCAAATAGTAAGTCGATTTCGTTTGAATGTAATTCAGTTCCTTTTGCCTTTTTGGGAATTTTATATAATGATATTAATACTGAAAGTGTAAAGTCAAATAAATAAGGTTTACAAGTTTTTTGTTTCGGATCAAAGAATTTGTCGAGAGACTTTTCGTGAAATCTGTGAAATTACAAATTGCTTGGTTTGCGTTAAAAAATTTGTTGAGGGACTTTTCGTGAAATCTGTGAAATTACAAGTTGCTTGGTTTGCGTTGAAAAATTTGTTGAGGGACTTTTCGTGAAATTTATGAAATTACAAGTTGCTTCTCTTGAATTAAAGAATTTGTTGAGACTTTTCATGAATCTGTGTTTCTTTTTTTATTGAAATAAAGAAGTAACGTGTAAGTGAACTTATGTTGTACTGTTTGTTTACTTTTATTATTAATTTCGAATTAAGTGTGTATTACGCGACGGTAAGATTAGTGTTAGAATGTTCTAGAAAGTGGAAATTAGGAAATTTAAGAATTTACAAAATAAGTGATTTGTAAATTTGAAAAATTTGTAAATATTTATTAAAAGATTTGAAATTTTGTTAAATTTAGAAATTTAATAATTGAAAGATTTTAAAATATGATAAATTTAGAAATATAGTATTTTAAAAATTCAGAAGTAAAAATTTTGATGTCTGAAAGTTTGATAATTTAGAAAGTGAACATAGAAATTTAAAAAATTAGAAAATTTTCAAGTTCAAGAATTAATAAATTTATGAATATAAAAATTTAAAAAATTGCAAGTTTTAAAATTATATTATTTATAAAAGTGGAAATTTATGAATATAGCAATTTAAAATTTAGAAAAGATGCAAACTCTTTTTCATAAATTCAGAAAAATATCTCAAAACAAAAAATTAACTAATTTAAAAAACTTACCTTTCGGATGAATTTGCAAATTAAAACGGTTAAAATCGTTGGCTTCAAAGGTGATCACATTGGGTGTTTCTCCCAACACAGACAATTCTCTGTCGATTTTCTGTCGATTTTTCGCGAATTGCAACTTCCAGTCGTCCCTGATCAATTCTTTGTCGGGCAAAGTAGCCAGCAACGAAATGTGATTGACATCCGCGGAAAATAGAACACCCATGGTCTTCATTTTCTGATTCACATCGCTGTAAGAGAAGAAGCTACCAAATCCTGCTTGTTGTTTGGACAAAGTGAGATGAGATTTGAGATCGAGTTTCAAGTGCTGTCCACGGCTGTTCACTTCGACGGAACCGGTCACATTTGACCCATCTGTGATCGGTTGTCGTTGCACGTTAGCCACCAGCGAGATCATCTGAGATTTCTTGGCGAAGACGTCGATGTCCAGATTGGCAGTCAACAGACGGTCGCGGCTATGATGAAGCGATCCTTTCACTACCATACCCTTTAATTGATCGACAAAAATTTTATTTTGTTTTATTTATGTTGTACAATGTGAAGCAATCTGATTTCAACCAGATTTTTACTGTTAATGTAAAGTGCATTTTTGGAATGCAATTTTCTGTGAAAATACAGTGCACGCTTGATAAATAACCGCTCCATGAATACCCGTTGTTGACAGTCATCTTAATTCGCCGTTTTGTCGAATATGTATGGTGTTTAACTTTTAACGTTTGAGTTTAATGTTTGAATACATATTTTTTATCACGGAAAATATGTGCAGTAGTTTAAAATATTTTAAACCATTATATTATTAAAATATTTTTAGATTTTGTGTAGTTTGAAATAATCAATTAAATTATGTACATATATAGTTCATTCATATTGCATATTAATAGTGAGCAGATCCTTCTAGCTTTATGCGGTCAAGTGATACTCACGAGAGCGGTAAAAGTGATTTAGTGACCGCCATCGTGATTTAAATTGGATATGATAAGAAGCGGTAAAATTTAAATCTGTTTAAAACGAATTTTCATCATTAAATTACAAGGCAAGTATTCTGTTACAAAATTACATATTTTCATTAAATTATAATAATCTGCTACAGAATTAGTTTTAATTTCATAGTAATTTTAGTATATAAATAAATTTTTATGTAATGTAACAAAATAAAGATTTTTAGCAATATCACTGCAATCAATGTAAGCAATTAATGTGAGCAAAATTCGTGATTCGTTATACATGTCATTACAACAAAAAAGTGAAGACATGAATGTACATTTTAGTGACTGCTCGATAAATGACCTAACCTAACCTAAACCAGGCTTTTACCGAACGAGCACTGTGATTATTGAAATCCTTCGCATAATTTGCAGTCATTGCTCTGTCGATAATTACACTGGACCCACCCCTTTAGAATGAAAATTGGTTCCATCCCTTTAACATAAAAACTGGATTTACCCCTTTATCATGAACATTGAAATCACCTCTTTAAAATGTAAACTGAGTCTACCTCTTTAAAATATAAACTGGATTTACCACTTTATAGAGAAAATTAGGTCTACCTCTAAAATGAAAATTTAATTCACTCCTTTAAAATTAAAACTAGGTCCACCTATTTAAAATAAAAACTGGGTCCACTTCTTTAAAATGAAAAGTGGACCCACTCGTTTAAACTGAAAACTGGATTCACCCCTTCAAAGTGAAAATTGGTTCCACCACTTTAAAATGAAAATTATTTCCACCCGTTTGAAGTGAGAACTGGGACCACTACTTTAAAATGAAAACCATGTCCACTACTTCAAAATGAAAATTAGGTCTATCCCTTTAGAATAAAACTTGGATATCTCTAAAATACAAATTGAATCCACCCCTCTAAAATGAAGACTAGGGTTCCCCTTTAAACTGCACAGTGGTAATAAAATCTTTTATTCAGACTCTTTGTTAGACTGTCCCTAAAATCCACATCAAATTTAAAGATTCTATTAAATTTAACAGACGTGACAGCCTCAAACAAAAATCCTCTTTTATATCTGACCTAATTTAAATTTCACTTATAATCTTAAAGTTCACAGTAACATCTAATTAAGTGATTAACGTGTATTATACCTTAGGTTGGGTAGGATAAGTGAATTTGGTTTCTCCGCTGAGCGACAAGTTGTTCTCGTCGATAAGGACGTCTCCGCTGCTTGACAGGCTAGTCTTATCGGCCGGCTTGTTCTTTCTGTCAAGGTAAATCGACAGGTCCACCTTGTACGCGCCAGTGTGCTTGGTCTTCGGCAAATCATACGTCGCAACGGCGGCTATCTCACGAGATGGCAGCGTCAGGATGCTGGCTATAATCAGAAAGCAATAGTGTCACAGTTGTCACCGGTAGTGTCACCTGGCGATAGCCATGGTGTCATTTTCGCGCTCAAAATGTCTAACCAGAGCTCAAACGAGATTACCTGCTTCTTTAGGATGGATGTAAACTTGGTAGGTGTATTCGGACTTGTCTTTGGTAGAGTGGAGATAGAGATTAGTGGTGTGGTCGAAGATGGGCTTCTTCAACTCCGTGCTGGTTTTTAACCCGAACTCGGCAGGTACGTTGAACTTCTTCAGGTCGACCTCCACCGTTATCTGGTGCTTCAGCAGAGCTTTCTCTGAAAATGTAACAAATTAAGCTGTGAAAGATTACTCTGTATGAAGTATTTCTCAGTCTTGAAAGAAGATTAGACGAAAGTAAGAAGATCGCTTACGTTCCACATCAAGGGTCGATTGAAGCTTGAAGTGAGCACAGTCCTTGTTCTGTTCGCAGTAACTGTTGAATACGTGCACCTCCTTGTTTGACAGTTTCAGTTCGCCAACGATAGCTGACGGTCCGAAATTAGCGTTCAATACCATCGCGACTCCTACTTCACCGTCCTTCTCGCGTGTTAATTGCTGACGAGTGTACTTAAAGGACGAGCTCTTCGTGTCGTCGCCAACTTTCAGACTTCCGTTACCTTCCACCACGATCTTTCCATCTTCGTCGCGCTTCTTGTAACTTGTGCTGAAGAGTAGACAGTGCACGCTTAGTCCCACAAATGATCATAGTGTAAATAATCGAAGCAAACTGGTTTTAATTGAATAGCGAACTTGGAATTGTTTTGAATATCGAAATTGAACCAAGAAGCGATAAATCTATTAACAGGAATGATTTGTGATATAAATTTAAATCTAATGCTTTGATTCGGGACTGCTTATGATATGGACTATGCTAGATTCGGGCCAGTTGAAGACTGAGAATTATCAAATCTGAGGTGTGGTGTAAATTAAGGTTGAATTCATGAAGAGTTGAACTACTGTCAATGGTAGCTCTAACGTGTGATGATCTGGTCAGATTCATTTATGGAAGCGAGTAGGTTAAATCTATGTTTGATTTCATGTATATATACCTTCCAGCTACGATGTTCTGACCGTCACTGGTGACAGTGATGACAATCCTCTTTCCAGACTTTGCTGTTGGTTTGTTGGCAATTTCAGCATGGATTTTACGGTGTTTTAGTTTGTCACTATCAAAATTGGCGTTGATTACGAAGTTGTCTACGCTTTCTAAGTCTACGTGTGCGTCGGCAACCGCGAATCCTTTGGGAGTATCCACTTTCCATTCACCTGGAACGCAAGTGTTGAATAATACAGTGGCCGCTCGTTATGTGACCGCTACGTAATCCGCCGTTACATGCTATTATACCGCAATACTTAGCTACTTAAATCTGGAGGAGTAGGTTAGAAAGGGAATTTAAATATTTAGTGAATTAGAAATCTATAAATCTAGGAATCTAGGAGTCTAGAAATGTAAGAATCTAGAAATTTAGGGAGCTAGGATCCTAGGAACCTAGAAACTTAAAAATCTAGAAATATAAGAACCTAGGGACTTAGAAACCTAGGAATTGAAAAATCTAAAAACCTAGAAACCTAGCGACCTAAAAACCTGGAAACCTAGGAATCTAGAAACTTAGAAACGTAAGATCGTACAAATCTACAATCCCAAATAAAGAAATTCGCAAATTCTAAAACTAAGAAATCTGTCAATAATGTATACATCATTGGTATCCAATATTGCCCGTTCCCGCGTACAAGCCGAAACATAGGGAATTATCTAGTAGTTGCTATAAGTAACCATATCAAAGAATCAGTTTCCTTTATTACCTTTGTATTCCTTGTCACCCAGCTTCTGGAATTTGGAGAGCACTTCTGTCTTTCCTAACGGAGAGCTGGCTGTCAGGTGGAATATATTGTTTGTGCTCTGTTGCTGAATCTCAGAGTTCAAAGTGTACTTGTTGTCATCGGCAGTAAGAACGCTGTCGACTAACAGTCTATTCTGTTCCTTGAATCTCTGTAAACCGGAATAAGAAATTAAGTAAACTACATTCATGAAAGCAGATGTTTCTCAATCCATTACCTGGTATTTCAAATCCAAGTTAAGATTACGTAGTTTCTCCGCAAGCATATTGCCTTTAGCTTTCAGGTTGACCGTCGCGACATCGGGAAGGTACTCGTTGTCAGATCGAAGGGACAGCTTTTTGTCTCCGTAGCTGGCATTCAGATCGACCATTGCTGTCTGCTTCTCGGAATTAGGCACGTACTCGTATTTACCGTCTACTTTCAGAGGTGGATTCTGCAGGATGTTCAAGATCAGCTTTCCTGTGCCCGAACTGGGCAAGTTGGAGTCCTTATCCGGCAACTGTAGTTTGTAGGATAGCTCTCCTTGCATCTTTTTGTCATTGTTGTACGTCAACTTTATGTTCTCAGCGTAGTCTATCAAGTTCTTCTCGGTGGCGTCTAGCAAACTCGAGGAGACCTCCAACTTCAGGTTGCTAAGCTTGTCGCTAGGCAGTTTCATCTCGAAGACACCGTCCAACTTGGAAGGCTTGTCAACCTGGTTGCCCTCGCTGATTGTTCCGCTGCACTGTAATTGAATCAGACATGTAAGTCGAAGAAGACTAAAGAATCAGTTCAAGCACTTACCATCATTGAGATGTCGTCACCCAGCGAAGCTTTCGTTTTGAGCGCTGCTTCGCTGTTACCGCAGTCTGAGCTTATTTGAAGCTGGAATTTCCTGGGAATGCTAGCACCAGTAACTTCGACGTTCAATTCTCTCGACTTCTTGTTTTCAGGCTGCAGGGTGTTCTTACCATTCCAAGAGACCTGCAAGTCCTTTCCGTCCGCGTCCACGAATTTCAACTGAGCCGAGTTCTTCTGGTACGTCAACTGCTCCAGGTCCAAATCCTTCACGTCAGCCTTGTAAGCGAGTTTCCTTGATGGCCCACCTTTGACCGTGTTGTCTACCAGCTCAGTGTCCACCAAGATGTCGTACTTGTTGTCCTTTTTCGCGGAATTGCGTTTCATTTTCCAGACCAGGTAGCGACCGTTTGGCAGGGTGGTGTCCACATCCAGCTGCAGTTGACCATCCTGTAAGGATCCTTGCAGCTTGCCCTTCCCGTTCAGCTCCATTTTGTAGGTGAGAACCTCCAGGACGTTCTTCGTGTCCACGGAGTTCTTCGTGATGTCGGAGACGGTGGACAGTTTCAGGCGTTTAGAGGGGTCTTTCTCGGCGTCATAGAGAATCTCCAAGTTACCTACGTGCTCGGATCCAGATATGGCCAGGTCAGCGTTGGCTTTAACCTTGCGATTGATCTTCGGGAAGTCAACGTTCAGGTTAGCGTTTCCTTTGCGGTTTTGGTAGATGTACTGACCACTCGCAGTCACGTAGTTCTTCAGATTGAGGGTCAAGCTGCCACTGGGGTTCGGTGTTCGCGTGGTCTTCAACAGGAATTCAATGTACTTGACTCCGTCCACCTTCACGAAGACGCGTGAGTTAAGCGCCTGTGGATTAGCTTCCAAACCGGTGTCCATCTTCACTTTCTTTCCGTTCAGGTTCAAGTCGCCGTCAAGTTGCACGTTTATGTTATTCTTGCTCACGTCGTGGGTCACCGTAGCGTCAGCTTCGTATTTACCACCCGGTTTCAGAACAAGGGAGTTACTGAATTTGCTCTTGTGCGCGTCGACGATGGTACGCTTCGACTTCAGCTCCACGCCGTTCTCCATCAGTTCAGCCTCCAGCTCGATGTCGTAGTCGCCAGGTTTCTCCATGTCCTTCTTAGCGGATAATTCGGTACCGAACTTGAATTTCTCGTATTTTACCTCGATGTCACCGCTGACCGATTTGCGAGTAAGTTTGCCTTCCACCTTCAGTTTCATGTTGAGTGCTGGGTAGGTTAGCTCGTTAGACATGGACAGGACCAGAGGAGTCTTAGGCCCGATCTTATAAACGGCTTCTTGGTTCAAGGTCAGTCGGTTGGTCTCGGAGTTTGGATCAGAACCATGTACGAAGATCAACTTGTTCTGTAGGTTGTCCGGTTCCCTCTTGTATTCCCACTTCAGATTGAATCCAATGTTGGGGTCGGTAGATGGTATGGCGGTCACAATCAGGGCGTAGTTGTTGCTGGATATCTGCTTTCCGTCCAACTTGAAGATTAGACTCTTATCGGAGTAGCTGAGAGACGAATCCACGGTGACTGCAGTAGGTGTGATGGTTACGTCACCGTCCACGACGACCAATTTCTGCCCACCGACCATCAGGGCGACCTTATCGAGCATGAACTTCTGACCACCTTGGTGATCGGCAACGTCTACGGTACCCTGCACGGTATACTGTTGTCCAGACTTCAGACCAGTCTTCGCTGTAGCGAGTTTTTCGATATGTTCAGGTACCCTGTACTCCAGCACAGGTTTGTACTTGCCTCCGCTGGCCAGCACTCCAATACGACCGTAATATTCTATCTGATCGTGGAACGCAATGAGGGAGAGGGTGCGTTCTTTAGGATTGTTCTTGAGTATCACTTCCAAGGAAGCCTTCTTGATGGGTGAGTCGAGAGAGACTTTGGCGTACTTGTTGGGCTCGAGACCTGCCTCCAGGTTCAGGGCCACACGTCTGTTGGTTTTGCTGTTAGGCGTCTCTACCAGAATCTCGAAGGAACGTTTAGCAGCACTTTCAGTGTTCAGGTTAACCCTGAAGTGGTAGCTGCTCACATCGTTGTTCTCGACTGTGATCGCGAACTTGGCCGGGCCGCTCAAGGGGAACATTGGTTTCTGTGAAATCGTAGCGAGGTCCTCGTACGGGTAGGTGAGTTGTCCGCAAACGGTTAGACCAAGGAGGGTTGAGAATTGGTCGAAACAGTCCGAGTGCGTCTTACCCTTTCCAAACTTGGGAGCAACGTATTTTTCACCTTTCGGGCCGGAACTCAGCAACAGTTCGCTGCTCGCGCTGATCAGCTCTTGCTTCTTCTTGGGTATACCGAAATTGACGTCGATGCCGTTGCCGTTCAATACAGAGACAGTCATGTCCGTGCTGCTGGCCGTGTGAAGAGTACTGATGAGTTTCATTCCGGATTCAGCGTCCAGACCTTGGACGACCATGCTTCCGATGATCGTGACGGATACACTGGGATCGAGGGCGATTCTGAAGTTGGCGTTTTTCGGGTCTTTCAAGATAGCCGGTATGTCGAGTTTGCCGTTGGTTTTCATGCGCAGCACGCTAGTTCCTGTCACACCGAGGTTCAACGAGCTTCCCAAGTTGGTTGGGTACACCAGCTCGGCGTCGAGGAACTGCAGGTAGTTCTGAAGGTCGAAGTTCAGGTTTTTGACAAGGTCGAAACCTTTCTCCAAGTTTTCGAATACCTTATCGACGATGGCTTCTGGAGTTAACTTACTACTGTCACCTTGATAACTGAGATAAGCGAGCTCGACGCCGAATAGTTTGACGGAAAGGTCAACATCCAGGTCCTGGTCAACCTCGTTGTTCCTCAAGTGAACGTTCTTCGCGAATCTGTCCAACTCTCCTTGTTTTACCTCGCGTTTTCCGCGAACAACCTTGTCATATCGTTCCTTGATGTATTCATTGAGGTTTTTAACTGAGCTGACACCGGATTTCTTCAACTCCTCGATGTTCTTCTCCCAGAGTTGTCCTTTGGGTCCAAGGTAGCGTTCGATCACTCGGTCCAGGTTCTCCACGCGAGTTTCCAGTTCCAGGAAGTTGAAACTGCGTCCGAACAAGTCCATTGTCATGTTCAGGCTTGTCGATCGTGGCACGAAGCTGTTCTGACTGTAGATTACGTTGCTCTCGGCGCTGGAGCCAGCACCAAAAGCACCAAGCTTGTACGAAAGTTCATCATTGTAGGAGAATTTCCGGAAATCTTCAGGGAACTTGGTTCGTGGTTTGATTAAACCTAATTGATTCTTAGCCGCCAGTTTGTTAGGATCAGTAGAAGCTCTAAGATTTCTCAAATGAGTCTGGATGAACGATCCGACTTGGTTGACGGTCTCCTTGTCCAGCACTTCTTTCAGTTGGTTAGCAACATGAGGGCAAGGACAAGCGACCAAGGCGAGATAGGTTTTAATCCTGACCTCGCTATCTTCCTCACGGTCGGCCAACACCTTAAACGCAATGTTCTTCCACTTCATCGAACACCTGTTGGGCAAAGCCCCGAGAGCAGCTACTCGGACGCGATTCCGCACGTTCTTGTCGGCGGCGATGTTTGCAAGCTTCTGCAGGGTCGCATCATCGAGGAATTGCGTGTTGCCCAGGGCTTTCAGGGCAGAAACGACAAGATTCTCTTGTTCCCTGGTCTTAGCCTTGCCATTGCCAACCTTTTCGCGAATCTTGTGCACAGCCTCCTTCACCTCGGCTACGTTCTCGCAGGAGTGCTCCTGGCAGTACTTGCCGATCACTTGTCCGACACCCAGGTAGCCAAGTCGAGGTAAATTAGGTTGGTCCAGCAGACTAGTGGCGGCCGTCACCGCAGGCAGATTCATGTGACGTACTAAGGCCAGACTGGCGTAGAACAGAAGCTCCTGGAGACCGGAGAGTTCCTTGTTCTTGACTAGATCGACTCCAACTTCTACCGCCTCGCCGCTGCCCGTTCTGAACAGGGTGTCCAGGAACAGTTTCTGGTCGTCCTTGTCGAAACCTGCGCCTTGTTTGATCTTCTGGTAAACGGACATGATGTCGTCCTTGCTACTTCGTCTGAGAACTTTCACCAGCTCGGCGAATTTAGTGGCTGCTTCCGGTTTCACTCCTGAAGCTACTTCGTCTTTGGTGGCCTTCAGTGCATTGGTGATGGCTTCCACAGATGATTTCGGTACCGGGTGAGGTCTTTCGAAGATCAGGGATTTAGGCAGCGACACTGCGGCCGTTGGACTGTCAGCTTTCTCCTTCTTCAGAACCAGTTTGGTGTCCACTGTGGTCTTAGCTCCTGCGTTGCCGTTGCTGAAGGGCCTCAACTCGTACAACTCTTTAGATGAAGCCTCGGTCAGTATACCCTGTTTGAAGCGTTGCACGATTGCTTGCTGCGACCCGAGCAGAGGGGAGGATTTCATGCCCGCTGAAGTGTCTACGCTAGCTGATATCAGACCCTGATTGAGGTTCTCGCGATAAGAACATTGCGCTAAGTTCCTGTCCTTCCTGACAGTCACCGTGTCGCCATCTTTGCGGAAGTTGAACTCCGTTAGACAGGCTCCCATCACGTCGGTCTGAAATTGTTGTCACGTTATTCTCCAACGAAGTGATTAGTAGTAAACTGAGGCTAGGACAATGTCAAGGTAGTTTGTGTTGCTTAGAATAAACTGATAAGATAATCGCTTTGTTTCGAGAATACCTCGTGGTGAGTCGTTGAACCGCTCTCTTCCATGACAGCTGATTGGAACAAGGAGACAACTGCTCTTTTGATGTTCAGAGACGCTTGGGAGTCGCCTGGCTCGGTGCACAGCTCCGTGTCAATGTGTCCGTCATGGTAATTGAACTGTACCGCGTACTTTTCGAGGTCTGGCAAGGACGCGGGCTAAAAGAATATGTTGCATATATTAGAGAGAGCAAATCTGGCTTTCCTAAAGAAAATGTGGCTAGAAAGGGTGATCAGTACTTATTGATTTGAAAGTTTTAAGATGAAAATTTTATAAATTAGAAGACATGCATTTGGTGACCTTGGGATTTATGGATTTAGAGATTCTATTCAGGCGATAACACTGTTTGACGATAGAGCTCAATATATTTTCAGGATATCTGAAATTCAGTGGGTAGATCAAAGAATTGGTTTACCGCTCCATTTAACTTGACGTTCTTCAGTCGCAACTGATGGACGCAGTTCGGTTTGACAGACATTTCCACAGTAGCGGACAATCGGAGGTTAGCAGTCCCTTGTGCATCGGTAACAGATGTCTCTGACGTGCCATCAAGATTATATACGTACGTGTGCCCTTCCTGATACGCTTTGCTCGGATGCACTGTCACGCAAAAGATGGGAGAAACGTTATACATCGATCTATCAAATATGCAGAGGTAATTGGAACTTGGACCGCGTATATTTTTACGCTAATTAGGCGTTTACCTAGGACCCACTAAAGAATTGGGGCCTCATATCTCACGTTGTTTTAAAAATTATTACGACAGTATTATTAAGTCTACAGTCATTAAACGTTAAAAATAGGAATTTTTATTTTCCAGTATAATTCAATATTTATTAATTTTTCTGTTTTCATTTGATTTTGGTTTTGTAATTTTAAACTGTAATAATATATTATTGTATTATATATTATGTATAAAATTATAATATACTATAAATGCTTATTTTATGTCTAAAATTATAGTATATTATAAACGTATATTTTACGTGTAAAATTATATAAACATGTATATCATAAATATTTAATAGTGTGTAAATTAAATATATTAACATAAATTATATGTAACAATGAAATTATAATTATAATCTCAATACAATATATTATGTGATATAATATAAGTTAACATATCCCAAAAAAATTGCGTTCGTTTTTAACAAATATTACACTTATTCTTTTTTGCATAAAGGGGCCCCAATTTTCAGTTGTGCGGGGCCCAAAAAACTGTAAACATGGTCCTGAGTGAAACAAAAAGATTGGATACTTACTTCCACGACAGCCGACCGTGCATTTGCCTGAAACAACAGAAACGAGACTTATTATTATACAATCTTAAAAATCAGATTATACATCAATTTTGTCTAACGAATTTTATAATTCAAGCTCCTAATAAGATCCATTTATGAACCACAATTGCTTTTTATATGATTTAACTACCTCATTTGTACTTCAATTTTGATACCTGAATATTTACATTTTTATCATTTTAATTCTTTAGGATTTTATTCTGTTTAATTCTTGATAGGACGCATATGTTACGTTGTCAGTACTTTAACATACGACGCACCTGGTGTGTCGTTCCTTACGTTAGCTTAAGACGCACCCGGTGCGTGGTCTACTATTCTAGCATGAGACGCACCAAGTGCGTCTTCCATTACTTTAACATACGACGCACCTGATGTGTCGTTCGTTACTTTAGCTTAGGACGCACCCGGTGCATCGTCTACTATTTTAGCTTAGGACGCATCAGGTATGTCTTCCAAATTTTAAGATACGACGCACCTGGTGTGTCGTTCGTTATCTTAGCTCAGGACACACCCGGTGCGTCGTCTTCTGTTTTAGCGTAAGACTCACCCGGTGCGTCGTTATACTAAAACGAATTAAATCCATCATTAATTTTATAATTTCTATACATTTTATTTCTGCGTGCTTACTTTTGGTAGGACGCAGAGGGTTGCTTGTTATTTTACCACAGAACGCACCTATTGCGTCACCTGTTATTTTGCCACAAGATGCACTTAGTGCTTCGGTATTATAAAACGCGTTAAACCTTTTGTTAACTATTTCTACAATTTCGTTATATTTTATTTATTTTATTTTACTTTTGCGAGCTTCTTTTTGTTAAGACGCATTAGGTGCGTCGCATATTATTTTAGTATGGGACGTACCTGGTGCGTCGTTACTGTTAAACGCATTGATCTTTCTGTTAAAAGCTTTTATAGTTCCTACATATTTTGTTTTGTATCATATTACTTCCACAAACTTCTTAGCAAGACGCACCCTGTATCTTAGCAAAGGACGCAACCATTGCGTCACTTACTTTAGCATAAGACTATGTGCGTTATTTATTACTTTAGTATGAGACGCACCTGGTGCGTCATTTATTACTTTAGTATGAGACGCACCTGGTGCGTCATTTATTACTTCAACAAGGTACGCACCCTATGCGTTATTCATTTTAAACACATTAAATCTCTCATTAACCAATTCGAAATATTAATTTCGAATTAACTCCCTATATTAATTCGAAATATTAACCACAATCGAATTAATAAGTAAAAATTCGTTCGATTTAAGTACCGAATGCAGCTTTTTATTAATTTTAATTATCCTAACTTGTTTGATTGCTTGGCCGTCCATCAATTTTGGTAACAATTTACGGTGAATAGAGTCGTGGGGTCGGGGACCGGGTTCTTAAATCAGCCACTTGAATTCGTCATTAAGGGGTTCGATAGCAGGTCCCCACCGAGATTTGTTTCGACGGTCGCATGATAATGTGTAACAGCATAATAACCGAGAGAATCATTGTCAATGACGTTGTAACAACATAATAACCACGCTAATCGTATCGTAATCGACGACAATATAATAACGAAGACAACAAAACTGTAGACACGGCATCTTATGAATGCTGGTTCATCGTCATACACCCGGCCAAAATTTACCCCTCGCATAAACAATCTTTATATTCTTCAAAAATTTGTATTGTATAGTATTTTATTGAATTCGATAATTTTGCAAAAGGGACGATAGGAGGCAAGCTTTACAGAGTGGTTTAACAAGATTCGGTATTACGAACGGAGAAAAAAATGCCACTTTTTCTCTATTTCTTGGGATTCTGCTCAATGCGCGACAGTGTGGGTGTTAATCCGTTCCGTTCGTATTTAATCGCCACGAGACTCCCTCGAGATGCCTTCGTTCCTTTCTGACCCCACACAGAATGGAAGTTTCCCGTCGTTGAAGGATTTCTCGACGTGACTGGAAACGCCGATTCCCCTTTTCGAATGGCCTTTGATAAATTGACCGCGTAAAAAAAAAGAAACGAAAGGAACGGTCCTCGCTTCGACCCGGAGGGCAATCACGTGCGTTCGAAATTCACTGTTTGCCCGACTCCTGAATAATTTTGCACTGTCCACGGAATATCCGTCCCAGACAAAATCTTTCTCTAATACCTAGTCACATATGAACACGATTGTTGAGTCATCGATTTTGATCAAACTTTTTTTCGAGAAACTATCGCAACCTATTTCACTATTTTTGCTAACAATCGTTATTTCAAGAAGTATTCAGTTTAGTAACATTATAAATAATAAATTGCTTGATGAAATGGCGAGGGATATAATAGCAAAGATGGTAGATCCTTCAATTACTGCGTCACGAGTTAAAAAACCTCTTGGGTTCGATAATTTTTTTCCTTTTTTTGTTCATTTTTCTTCACCTTCTTTTATTCATATATTTTTTAATTAATTGTAATTGTGTGACATTGCGGTTTATTTTTGTTCAAGATTTACCAAAAAAATTGTTACCAACATCAGTGACCCAACGATTATGTCTTCTGTTGTTATATTTATTATTAATGAATCGTAAGAAATAATCAGTAATCAACGAAAGTCGCTCGGAAATTTCTAAAAAGCCGAATTTCGCGTTCGAGCACGCTTAAAGAATTGATCGACTAAAAATAAGCGTTTCAAGATCGAGGGTCAACCGAGTCAGCGATTATCGCGTTATCGATGCGACCTTACTTGATGAGGTTCAGCCTCCCTTGCACAAATATGCCGTGGAGTAATCAACTCCGCGGATAAAAATGTAATCGATTATAAAAGCGAGTCAATAAGATTTTTTATCGTCTTTCTGTTTGGTCGCTTTGCCCGAGTACTGCATATCGTGCACCACTGCTGGAATAAATGATTAATCTGAACGTTGTTATCGCGGCTTGAGTGCTCGGGAACAAGCGACAACTGTTCGATCGTTGTTTAATATTCCGGCGGGCGATTAAGCGAGAGAACGTCTTGATCATAAGAATACTTTGTTGGGCTCTGCAATTGTTTCACCGGTTATTGCATTTTTTAATAGCGAAGTAATGGAGGATGGTTAAAAAATGGGCTCTTCAAGACTTGAGTATTTGCATTGTTGCACGGTAATGTATTTAGCACGGCAATATAACGCGCGGTATAGGCCGCAGCAATATAGTGAATGCAGCACAATATACAGCGTGGAGATATACATACGTATGCGTCAGTATACAACGCGATGATATGCAATGCTGTGATGTACAGAGAGTTAATGTACAGTGCATTGATTATGTAACACGTTCTTATATAGCATATTGATAGAGAATGTAGTGATATGCAACGTGTGAACATATAAAGAGCTGATATGCAGTGTGCTGATACATTTCCTGTTAATGTACGGTGTGTTAATATCAAACGCGTTGATGTACGAGGTGTGACCCAAAAGAAACGAGACTAGGTGTATAGCTTGAAAAAACAATGGAGTTGGCAGCAATTGTTTTTGTGGCATCATCCCACGTACCTCCTCTATCCATGTTGCCAATTTCGATTGAATCGGTCATACCATTTGCAACTGCATTCTGCCGGAAAAATGTCTAACGTAAAAACCGAACAGCGAATAAACATCAAGTTTCTTGTAAAATTTGTTGAAATCTGTTGTAACATGTGATGAGACGTGGATTTTTACCTATGACCCAGAAAGTAAGCGCCAGTCAATGCAGTGGAAGTCTCCAGGATCCCCAAAACCCAAAAACGCACGCATGTTAAAATCAAAATTTGACATTAATGGAATTGTAATGATTGAGTGTTTTCCCAGTGGTCAGACTGTTAACCAACACTATTACATTGAAGTACTAAAAAGACTTCGTGAAAAAATTAGGAAAAAATGGCCACAGTTGTGGAGCGATGGATGGCTGTTGCACCAGGACAATGCAACCGCTCACACGGCACTGTCTGTCAAACAGTTTTTGACCAGCAAAAATATTACTGTGATAGGGTATCCTCCTTATTCACCTGATTTGGCTCTATGCGACTTTTTTTTATTTCCCAACGTTAAATTTTGCTTAAAAGGAACCCATTTCACCTTAGTTAAAGAGGTTCAGGCAGAAACGGAGAATCTCCCGAAAGGACTTCCAGAAACCTCATTCCAGAATTGTTACCAGCAAAGGCAGCGCCGAATGCATAAGCGTGTGAATGCTGAAGGCGACTACTTTGAAAGTGATAATGTCACGGAGAACTGAATCTGAAGATACAATGATTTATTGGACTAGTCTCGTTTCTTTTGGGTCACACCTCGTACACTGTATTAGTATGCGAAGCATGAATGTACAAGACTGTGATATGCAACGCATTAATGTACAGTTAATGTAATGTTGATATACAGTGCATTGACATGCAATGCGTTGAGATACAATGTATCGATTTACAACGCGTTGATGTAAAATGCATTAATATGCACCGTACTAATATACAGTGCACTGATATGCAATGCGTTGATGAGCAGTGCACTGACGTACAACGCGTTGATGAACAGTTCATTGATATGCAACGCGTTGATATACAGTGCACTGATATGCAACGCGTTAATATACAGTGTATTGATATATAAAGCGTTGATATAAGATATATTTATATACGGCAGTATTATTATACAGTACACTGATATACAGTAGGTGATATGCAGCGCGTTGATATTCAGTGTATTGACACGTAATGCATCAAGTTACAGTGTATTTGCAAATAGAGCGCATTAATACATAGTTTATCAATATAGAGATCTGATATGTGATGACATGCAAGACTGCGTCAAAGTAGAGCATGACATTAAAATGCGTTAACACTTTGATGCGTTAAAGTAGAGCACGTTGACTTTAGAGCACGTCGATATTAGAACTCGTTAATGTCAAAGAGCGTCGACATTAGAGCAAGTCGATATTAGAGCAAGCAGACATTAGAGCACCATAACATTATAGCGTTTTGACATTAAAGTATAATAACGTTCGAATGCGTCAAATCATTATAAAGTATTTCGATATTACAGCGCATCGAAAATACAGTACTTTGACATGAGAGCGTGTCGATATCAAATTAGGTTGACATTAGAGTGCATTGACAGTTCAGTTTATCGAAATAGAGTACGTCGATATTAGAGTAAATTGCTATCACAGCACGTTGACATTAGAGTGCGTTAACACTTGAATACATCAAAATAGTGCACATATTAGAACAAGTCGGTAGAACATGTCGGTACTAGCACCTTGACATTACAGCACGTCAACGTTAGATTACATTAACATTTGAGTACGTCAAATTAGAGTACGGCACCATTTATAGCGTATCCAGATTAGAGCACATTCACATTAGGTTGTGTCAGCAATTAAATACAATACGTCAATATTAGTGCTTGTTGACATTAGTTTTTATTTAAAAACATCAAGATTTAGCGGACCAGAATTACGTCACGTTATTGTACGTTATTTAAATATCACATTAGAGCGCATATCTATATGTCATATTACAGCACATATCTCTACGTCACGTTCGAGCATATACATACCTATACGTCACATCAGAGTATACATACTCAATATATGTATATGTATAGATACTCAATATATTTACATTCCATACGAAGAGTTCAATTACAGCAATTAAGACGAATAGATACAATTTAAAGTTCTACACCTTTTCCTTTTTCTTTAGAATAATAGAAAGAGTAATTTAGAAGTAAACGCACTGTACGTAACTTAAACCATTTTGTCGCAATGGCAGCGATTTTAGAAGATCACTTTAAAGCAGAATGCGGCAAGAATAGCCATCAGGCGAAATACCGCAATGTCTGCACTCTTTTGTAAGAAAGGTCATGATAAATTATAATAAAAGGCTGAGAGTTCGGTGTATTTCCTGTCACGTACGGTCGCGCCATTTTTCCGTTTTACTGAATCCAGATTGGATTTACCCAGGATACAGTTCGAGGCTCGGAAAAAATTGAAACTAATACTGATTTTGATCGAACGACAATTTTTATCTAATTAATCTCACTAATATTTGCAAAATCGTTTCACGGATTATTATAATTTGATATTGAAATTAATACCGATTTCGACCAATTAATTTTTGCCTAATTAATCTTATTAACATTTGCAACATTGTTTCATAGATTACATAAATTAAAAATTATTAACATAGCTGGAAAATTTTATCTAATTAATCTTACTAATACTGCAAAATTGTTTCACAGATTACATAAATTAAAAATTATTAACATAACTGGAAAATTTTATCTAATTAATCTTACTAATATCTGCAAAATTGTTTCACAGATTATATAAATTAAAAATTATTAACATAACTGGAAAATTCTAAGAAATATGTTTATAATATCGGAATATATCAATAATGACAGAAATTAGTAAAAAAATAGCAGTTGTCTGAAACAAATTTTTATCCGATTAATTTGAAATTACTTGTATCATGGTTTTGTTAACTTTTCTAACTAAAAAATTTTATGAAATAAAGTAGCGTTTATAACTCTAACATTTCAATGATAAGAATGCTAAATAACCGGTAACTAATAATCTGTAAATTAAGTGTTTATCTAATCATTTTTATAGTATTGTACAATTTTGTTAGCTTTCCTGATTATTATAATAACTTGAAATTTTAATTTACAAATTATTCAATTAAATTATAATTTAATTTACAAATTTGTTGGTAGTTACATTAGTGCTAATTATTGTAGTGTCGAGATAAATAAAAGAAATGTTATGTGTATTTTGAAATCAAAATACATTTTTCATGCGACTACGAATTAGGGTTTGTCACATTTGACCTGCAACGTGCGTTACGGGTCAGACTCCTTATTGCGAGTCAAGGGGTTAATAAAATAAATTTAGCGATGTAGTACAATGATGTACATATAAATAATAATCTCAACTAAATTTTCATCTAATCGGTCTGAAATAATTTGAATCAGTTTTGTCAATATTTCTAACCTAAAAATTGTCAAGATAACCTGAGAATTGATTGTATCGATAACATTCTAGAACATTCGAGAACTTAATCCGCGTAATCCGTCGAATTCTCCGAGGTGTCTCGTTAACAATGCAGTAGATACCACAGATTCTCGGGATTTCGCGATGAAGCGACAAATTAATCGGTCGGCCGCAATTGTAGCATCTCCGACCTTCCATTATCCGATTATGAGAGATTTGCCGCAGTACAGCGTAAATCGGCGCAAGGTTACCCCGTGAAAATCGCAACGTCCGTTTGAAATTATACTCGTTCCACGAACTTCTCGACGATTCTTGGAGCGATTACTTGCCATCGTTGAAAATGTCGCGACGAGTTTGCATGAATAAATACCGAAATGTCACGAGAAATCCAAGAACAAGATTCACGGGCTTAGTGTTCCGGAGAAGCGTCTTCGTGCGCCGCCGTGAAAATTTCCTCTTGGAAATGAGAAAATCGCGAGATGAAAAGATACGTGGAAGTACGCAACCGGTGTATTGTATCTGATCCATTTTATTGGGAAGTGGGGACGTTAGATCAATTTACCAAATGTCCGGTTTAACATGGGGGACCTGTAATCATTTCAATGATATAGACCTCGTTCCAGCTGGTTATGTACCGCAAGATACGTGTATTAACTGGACGAAGAATTTTAGATATTTACTTTTGTCCCGGAAAATGAGCCGTTTGAATGCGGGACATTTCTGAAGAAAATGAAGATAATAGATGAAACAATATGATATTTTTTCCTGTAGTCTGTGGACAAAATAAGAGTTTCCTAATATTTGATGGTTAGGTGACTGACGGTGTTAGAAGGTACGCGTTCGAAGTACGCTGAATCGCGATGCATTTTCCCACGTATCGTTTTAATCGTTATAACTTTTTCATTGTTAGGGTTCAAATCACTAAAGTCGAAAAGAGAAACATTTATAGTTTATTAAATATTTACTAGTTTATTAGTTTATTATGTATATGTGCAACGTAACATTCAGATATTTTTGACACTTTACGAGCACGTGCTTATTGCAGACAAACGTTGCGTAAACTGCGTTACAAGATCGCCCGAAACAAAATAAAGTAAAAGATGCGCACTCTTGCGTCCGATTCGGATAACACGTGTTTTCACGTCAAGCATGAAATGAGTCGTTTATTTTGAAAGTGAAGCAAGTCCATTTTTGAAACAAATGAAAATATATAAAATTTCGTGTGATATTTGCATCTGTAAACAATCTGTAGCCAAAATGATTGAAATTCTAATATTACGGTATGATTTAGCTCCGGTAAATGGTAATACGAACAATGCTGTCAGAAACTATTAATTGTATAATATTGGCATAACCTTAACATGAGCGGGGACCTGTAAATCTATCTAGGTATCATTGCTTTTATTGTTAGCTTGCAAGTTCTAATTCAGTTTCTAATTAATACTCAACAAAGTTGACACAGTTCTTGTTTCAGTATTGGTGCACAAACCCCTTAACAATTTCTGCGTTATTCAAAAATTAATTACGAATAGTGGTTTATTTTATTTAAAAACGTTTGATTCAATGTTTTCAACAAAAATTGTAACTGTGATCTGAAGATGAAGGTAGGTAATAATAAAAAAATAAAAATACCTTTTTGGGTAATAATGACATTCCAACAAAATTTATTTGCAAGGACTTTTATTATTTGTAGGTTTATAGAAATGAGATTCATGGGAATTGGTAATAAAAGAAGAATCTTGGAATCAGGATTTGAACATGAAGACAATTCGAAGCAAAATAATTAATTAATTAATTAATTATGGATTATAGAAATTATTTATAATATTTCACTAACACTTAATTGATAGTATTTTAATAACACATTTTGTTATTGTTAATTAATAAAGTATTAATATTTTATTAGCACTTTGTTATTGCTAATTAACGAAATATTAATAATATTTACTAATTAATTAATATTTATTAATATTTACTAATATTTAATATTAATAAATATTTAATATTTATTAACACTGTTGACAGTTTTACATTATATGACAACATAAAAATTATATTAACATAATTTTATATTATGTAAATGTTAATAAATGTTCCTCTTCAATTAACATAAACAAAAATATTATTTGCATCAAAATATTTCTACAATAATATAATTAAATAAAAGCCATACATTATCCACATTTACATACAAATTGTAAAAACAATAAAATACGAATCGGTGTCTGAAGATTAGTTTTCATAAAAAGAAAAATCAACGAAGCGTTAATGTAAAATCAATGGTGCTAAATATATGCTTCACTGAATCATTTTCGAGGTTGGTCGCTTTATCGATTCACTATTCCGTGTGATACGTCTTCATTACCGGAATTATGGTGGTTCGAAAGCGAGGCTTACAATTCAGGGTGAAACATTGTTCGAAATGAGCGAGCTTTTTGTGCGCTCATCGCGTGGAAAACTACACGGCTGCATATCCGTTTATCGCGGCTCTAATTATCTTGGATCTGTTACGTGTCTGGAGCTTCATTGAAAATTCATTTTACCACGTTGTTCGTGTTACACTTGACCGATCGCTCAACGTTCCGGTTGATTCTCTCGTAGTGCGTTGACGATTTATTTGCATATGGTGATGTAGGAAAAAGAAAGACGTTGTTGGGATTTTGAAATTTTGGGTTTTTAGAATATTGGGATATTGGGATTTTGGAATACTGGGATTTTGGGATCTTGGAACTTTGGGATTTTGGGATTTTGGGATTTTGGAACATTAGAATTTTAAACCTTTAGGATTCAGAAAATAGAGATTTTGGAATATTGGAATTTTAAATATTTTTAGATTTGGGTAATTTTACAGTCTTGGAACTTTGGAATTTTGGGATTTTTAGATTTTGAGAATTTTACAATTTTTGTGCTTTGGAATTTTGAATTTTGGTATATGAAAATTTTGGAATTTTAAAGCTTTAGAATTCAGAATATAGGGATTTGGGATTTTGGAGTTTAAACACTTTCAGATTTGGGGAATTTTACAATTTTTGAGCTTTGGAACTTTATATTTTCGAATTCTACAATTTTCAAACGTTAGGATTTGCAGATTTGAGATGTTGGGATTCTGGAGTTTTAGAAATTCAGAATTCTAGAATCTTGGAATTTTGGGACTCTGAGATGGGATTTTTATAATTTTATAATTTTAGGTTTCTGAAATTGCGTTTTTAGAATGTTTTTTGAATTTTTAGGTAGGATTTTTAGAGTTTCAGAAATTTGAAGTTCTGAGATAAACTTTTCGAATTTTAAGATTCTGGAATTGGTTTTTTACAATTTTCTAATTTTAAGATTCTGGGATTGGTTTTTTTGCAATTTTAGAATTTAAAAAATTTTCTACCTTGGATATTTGGATTTTGGTATTCTGAGTCACGAATGTTTGAATATTTAAAATTTTAGAAATTTTTTAATATTGCGATCGTGGATCTTTAGAATATGAATATTTTAGTGTTTTGAAATCTTGCAGTATGAAATTTTTAAATTCTAAGATTTCAAATTGTTGAAATACATTTAATAACCAAACTAAAAAGAGTAAATTATTCCATTGACCACGAGTTATTATTAACCCTTTTTGCAAAGGAAAATCTTCTTCAGAAGGACATCCTCCACCACCCCTTTCAGGGAGTGACACTAGTTACGAGACCCCCGTTACATAATCAACGTTCTCCCTGTTACATCCATATATAGCACGTAAAAAGGAAAAAAGGTGTAGAGAACTCTAGAGAAAGGTCTCCTTATATCTTAATACCTTTGAAGGTCATCGATGACCCTCCCAGGCAATGTATTTTCTTATAAAAGATGTAGTTTCAATGTGCTAAATACAGTACTAAAGATTTCTAGGGAAAATGGAATAGTACGCTGGGGGTTGAAAAGTTTCGGACCACCGCTAAATGAAGAAGTAGAGGACATTACATAAATCCTTATTTGTTTCAATTCTATGCTATGGTTTGATCAAAAGGCTTTGATATCGTATACAGTCCCTGGTCATCAAATTAGGAACACTATAAATTTTCAGCATTTTTCACGTTTTCTGTAAAATTAAAAAGTCTGTTCGAATTGTAATGATATAATTTATTAGCTACTAACATGATACTGCTACTGTACATAACATTATTAACGCATGTTAATATCTTGTATTTCCACCCTTTGCTTTGGTGACAGCTTGTATCGGACATGCTCTGTATACATTGATCATATGCTTTATATCTTCATTATTTTCCCAAATATCTGTAATTCTTTTCAACTCGGATAATGTGGTTGGAGAGTTGTAAACTAATCTTTTAGGCTCCACACATTTTCTTGGGCATTCACCAAATTTCACCTAACGTGCTATCGGTACTCGAGCCTAACGTAAACGCTCGCACGGCCCCTAATCGTTCATCACCCACACAATTTGTTATTAAGATAGTAACAAATTGGTATGTATATATCGTTATCAACGTATTTAGTAATAATTTGCATGAGCTAAGACAATTTTCTATATGTGACATAAGGTTGTAGCCATAAAGTGAAATTTTTGTGTGTGATCCTAATTCGATGACCAGGGACTGTGCATCTTCAACTTGTACGTTCATAACGCTGTATTTTATTTATGTTTGAATATGAAGATATAGGTGAGAATAGTTTAGAATAAAAAAAGGTGACATTATTTTTCTAGCAATAAATATTCATCGTTATAACAGTGTGTATTAAACAATTTTGTACGATTATTTTTTAAAGAAAATTCTATTTAGTAATAATAAAACTATAATTTTTAATTATAATAAATTTCGCTTCCTTATAAAATTTGATAACAATAATAATTAATTAAGTAATCATTATTGTTACATATTAATTTTTTTTTATAAAATTTAAACACAAAGATTTATTCAAAAGATTTATATCTGTATACGTAATACAAGACTGAAAGAGTTATTCAGTTATTATTAATAATTAGTTTATTATAAATTATTATAAGTAATAATTAAACACAACCGTATTAAACACGAATAGTATTCAAATATTAATCAAAACTGAATAAAGATATTAGAAAATCGTTTATAAATAAAAAATATTTAAAAAAACCTAAATACAATAAAATTTTTTGAAACGAACATTTACAAAGGAAATTGTAGTCTACTCTCAATATGTCGCCATATCCCCCAAAAAATTCATGATGCTCAGCACTGCACGTCGATAGGTGAAAATATTGTCAATCCAATTTCAGAGAAAATCGTTCATTTGTCGCGCTATTGATGGCTTTCAATTTTTATGGAACCTGAATTTAGTTACACGAATCCATAAAGGCCCACCCCATCTCATAACTCTGCGTTTCTCAAATCAACTTTTGAAAAATTCATTAAAAATTTAAAATACGTTTCTCTTTTTATTCCTTTTTATCCGAGAAAAATTTGACGCACTTGGAAATTACTGTTCCACATAGAAATTCGTCTCTTATTTCCTTTTTTAGAGATATTTTAGTTCAACGTTGATTAAATTTGCAAGTATAAAAGAATTATTAACGAGAAAGGATCGTTTCAGAAATTTGGTAATTGTTTTATTTAAAAAGTTGAACGTTGAAATTCAACATTCGAGATAATTCAAGGATCTTTTTAAATGTTAAAGTGTGTGGAACAATAACTCAGCATTTATTCAAACATAATAAATAACAATTTATAGTTCAATTAATTACAATTTTTATGTGTAATTTATTTTTAAACGTTCTTTACATGTAACTGTACTTTAAAGAATTATGCTGTTGTTAACATTTACCAGGAACGGTATACATTTTTATATTCACTTGATACTTTTTTATCAAATTTAATAACTAATAAATTTTTACCGTATCACCAAAACACATAAATTTATGCACAGTTAATAATAAACACAACAAATTATTATTTTGTGTTACCTAACAATATTACCTAGTATTATCAAATTATATTTATAAGAACACATTATTATATTCAATTACTACTTTTTTATCAAAGTTAATAACTAATAAATGTTTATCATCAAAACAGTTAAAATACAAACTCAATAATTAATGCAGGAATATCTTTTATTAATTAACCTTGTTATTTTTCAAATAAAATTATTAGTTTGTATTATCTAACATTACTACCTAGTATTATTTATTAGAAACAGTGTACACTTTTACATTCGATCGATACTTTCCTATCAAGCTTACACGATGAATAATAATTACGCTTTTACGTACAATAAAAAGTACATTATTTAGTAAACGAATAACTTTTTTCAGGATTTTTATATTTGCTCGATACTTCCTCTAAAATATCACGTTTATTAAATTTCGAATTTTTACTGTAACGCGTGCATCATAAAATTCCGTATGAAATCTCGTGAAATGTCAGGTGAGAGGATTTCACGAATAAACGATGTTGTGCCTTTTTTCCACGACTTTATCGAACGTATATCCGACACAGTTAGTTAACCAGAGCAAAAAAAGAGATGATTAATCTTCGCATATTCGCGTTATCGATTAAGGCTCAAGAATAAGCACCGTATACTCCGCATGATTTTAAGCGACTCTGGTGGAAAATTTATCCTTGTTTATCTTATGGTGTATTGATCAGGAGAAACAAGGACACTAGTGATTGCAGTTCCACAAATGTACAAGAATACTGCTTCGTTTTACCTGGATTTTGAGCCGAGAATTTTGTCATGATTTCTTTTTCAAAATATTCTTTATATAATTCTTCGATGCGATAAAAAGCTCAATTTCGCAATTTCATCCTTAAACCTTCACGAGAAGGAAACATGCAAGTTTTTATAGAAGAAATTTTTTCACGTCCCATTTCCCAAAT